ATGCAAAACATGTTGGGCTTTATCTACGATTCCATACATTCGCTGCAATCCAAATTCTATGTCAGCCTGCCCTTTACAATCCTAATGACACTTCAGCAAAGTGTGGTGGCTGAGAGAGGGCGGGAGCCAGGAGGCTTTCCCTCAGAAAGCGCTGAGAGCATCTTATCGGGGAAAGGGGCTAAGAGTGTTGTTGTTGTGATGCCTGACTCCATATTCTCGGGTCATAGATATTCAAGAACTGCACCTCCTTTTCTCCCCTCTTCCTGTTGCCATAGCACATCAGCCAGGACACACAGTTCTGTACTCAGCCACCTGCAAATGAATATCTGTGTGGAGAGAACGCTGAAACGGGTCTTGAGCAGGAGGGCACGACGTGTGATAAAGACGGGGAGAGGCAGGAAGACGGCCCGGGAAGAGCTTTCTTCAGTATATTCGAGAGCATCGGAAATTATCAAAAGCTTCTTGTCCAGGTTTATCTGCAGGTGTGTGAACGTGCGTGTGTGTGTGCGCTTTTAAGAGAAATAACTCTTCAAATATTTTTCAAGAACTTGCCATGACACTGAACAGGTTTGAAGCTCTGCTATGCACAGGTGCTTGAAGGACAATATCGAAGTAGTAGTCTATTATTGTACAGTGTGAATGAATGAAGAGTGATTGAGTGCAGTACTCCACGCCACCTATATAAAGCAGAAGTATTGCAATGTGAGGGCCAGAGCGGGAGAGGGTGAGAGAGCTTTAGAGGCCTAAATGAGGTAAAGGGAAGTGGAAGTGTCCAGTAGGGGGTCTGTTGCTGTGGGAGGAGAGTGAGCGAATGAAAGAGAGAGAGAGAAAGAGAGAGAGGGGGGGGGGGGGGGGTGTGGGGAAGGGAAGAGGGCTTGTTTGACGCAGCTCCAGGGCCAATGCATGAGGGTTTGGGGCTAAGTGTCTCATCAGCATCCAGCTCAGGTGCTGCCAGGGCCCACGCACTAACTATGCCCTGACTTGATTGTAATTGCCTGAATTCAACTCCCGCTGCTCCCTCCTGGCAATATCACAGGAACATTTAACTCCAGAGAGCCTGGAGACCGTGCGGCAGGGCCACAGAGCGCAGCTGACTGCCTCTTGTTGAAGCCTGTGGGCTGCGGGGGGATCCTCTCTCTGGCTGACTGCATTGTGGCTGAGGGTCACAGGTGCATGAATCTCCCCACTTCTCGGTGTTTGTGAACATGAAACAAGTGCGACTGCATAGGGATATACTTTTTACGGCGATGGCACGAGTATGGCCGAGGTGTTTGATGTTTACCGACTCAGTGCTGACTTACGGGGATCAAATACTTTGCCCTCAGACAGCATGGCGCTACCACAAACGTCTGAGAGCAAATTCTGAGTGAACATATCCATCACACCAAAAAAAAAAGAGAGGACTTCCATAACTCTTAACACCATAAATTATTTAACATCATGTTTAAACTCTCCACAAAATCAGACCAGAAATAACTATCCTACTTCACTTTAGTTATTTACCATGTTTAATTTAAAAGCAAAGTATACCCTTGATTGCTTCATATTTGCCACCGCTAATATATATTTGTTCTAACTTTACGCACAGTTGTGGTGCAGTATGCTGTCTTTATGTTAATGTTTTCCTGGCTGAAAATAGCTTAAAATCCTCTTTCAGAAGAACAAAAAAACAAACAAACAAACAAAAACAAAAAACACGCCAAGATGGGAATGAAAAAAAAAGCAGAACCCCAAATCTTTATTAATAGCTTTCACTCATAACATTTATTTGTCACCTAAAAGTGAAATTTGGCTAAAAATGTCAAATCAGAGAAACATTTGTCAGTGACTTTTGCAACTGACAAGGGCATGAATGAAGCCCTTCCCTCACACCAAAATGAAAGCCCTCATTCGTGTGTGACATACAAATTATGGGCAAAAATAGATTTTTCAGTGGTAACACGTAATCTATGTTTCCCAGTTGGCCAGCTTTGAAAATTGCTGCAGGGTTAACTTAAAAAAGTTAGCCTGTGGTGCTCCTCATCCTGTGATAATAGGCCTGTCAGTAATGAAGAACAGGCTTGTTGCCAACAGGTGGTCTCTTTATAAGACCAGAGCCACAGCACTCAGGATGGGGAGGGAAAAAAAGACAGCCATGGCAAAATGTGTCAGAATCTAATGTTCTGCAGAGTGAAAAGCCTGTTTTCTGTCTTTTGTTCCCTGCTAGAGATTCAGCCTTGTTCCTCATTGTTCGGGGCACAAACGAGCAACAGTCTTTTTTGACACGGAGCCACAGATGAATAAAGACTGGAGCTGACTAGTCACAGGAAAAAGCTTTCTTTCTGGAGAGCTTGGAGCCCATTAAGAGTTTGTGAGATATGAATGGATATGAATCCTCTCCACCGACCCCACAAAAAAAAAAATCCAACTGGACCCACAGATGACAAGAAACACCTCTGTTTCTTTTAAGTGTGGTTCCCAAGAACATTTCAAGACATCAAGTGAAAGAAAGACTGATTGGCAGGCTGTAATTACATCGAGTCAATAAGGAAGTAGCTCATTGTTGATTTGAAAGGATACACTATGCCCATCCAAGCCTAGAACTCCAACCATTGACACTAATGTCGACATATTAACCTATGCTATAAGCAATGGTGCAAGAATCTGTGTAAGAATTGTAATTTCAGAGCACATATCGATGATGTTAATTTGATATTCTATTTCAATGTCCCACAGAGAGCCTTAAGTATTTTTTGCACCAAAAGTCATAAAATGGGCAGGATATTTTCTAAAATACTTAATACAGACCCCAGTCAGCACATTCAGCTCAATAGACAGAATATGGGTGGATCCCAACAAAAGCAGCGTACAAAATACAAGCCTTTGTCCAGCTCCATAATCCATTTGTTACACTTAGACCAATTTGTCCTCATTAACCCTCATAACAGCACTGTGTCTGAGACAAAAGCTCCCAGCGAACAATGAGAATACCCCACCCTCCCAACATCGACATAACCGCAGCTCAAGTGCTCCCCTTCTAAGCACATTGTGGCCTCTTGTTGCTCAGAGGGTTCCAGTCTATGAGCCAGAGATAGACAGACCCCAACAAGCAGGGTACACCTGAAAGAAGGGGTGAAAGGAAATGTCCTCATTTCCGCCTCAAGAATGAAATATCTCCCAAAAAACACAATGCAACATGCTCTGTTGTATTCAGGTCACTCCATCAATCAACTCTGAAATGAATCATGACAGAAAGTATAAAGAGCAATAGCAAAGAAAAAGAAGGGGAGTTACAGTAATTTCCAAAGACGTGAGAAAGTCCGACTTGTTTGTACTGTTCAGTTTGTCAAACCTGTAGATTTTTTCAAAATGAGAGCAAAAACAGCATATTTAGCCAGTGTCTACTTTCAGTTTCTCATCCATAGTGATAATGTTGCAGTTTTAGAACCTTTTTGGTAAAAATAGAACTTCCCATGTGAATTTTTATGTTATTTCAGGCTGTTGATAACTCACGAAACTCTTAAAGCTAATAATCATACCTGACTTAAATGAGGTACCCTAGTGCTCTTTCTGCTCCTTACTGCACAAGGAAATTGTGGCTAATAGTCACAAAAATGATTAGATTATATATTATCTCGAACCTTTATATAGTCAAATAAAACAAAAACCACCGGATCGTTCTATTAAAAACTCTTTCATCTTAAGCAGAACTTGATATTTCTATATCCACGCTAATATTTCTTAAAATGAGCAAGATATTTCCTAAAAAATACTTGAAAAGGCCCATTGTGTGATAATGGGTTTAAATGTTAAATTCTTGTGCACCATTTAGGAGTTTCAGAAAAGACACGCCGAGCCTCTGAACAGCTTCAGTTAATCTGTTACAAACCAAAATACCAACCTTTATATTTATTGCCTTATATCAAACTACATGTAGAGGGGGTCTGGAGTCACTCCAGTGAAGTATCGAACAAATGTGATGTGACCACTCTCAGCTCTATCCACAATATTAACGATCTGAGAATGTCGTTCAGGGATCCAAAGAGTTGGCAGTACGTTTTGAGTATGAATTCTATTAAGATGTTCAATGGCCTCAAGTACTATATATTTGAAAAGAAAATGAGATGCTTAAAGACAGACTTAAAAAAGTAAAAATGTAAAACTTACATGTGGCCAAGCTTAAATATGATGCAGCAGTTCTGTAGAAAAGTGGGAATAATAAAATAAATTCTGCCGGCAGACACTTACTCAGTTTAAGCTTTATTAGTGACAGCTCTTTTATGAACATGTCACAGTGTCAAACGCAGTGGCGTCCCATTTAATGCTGGTTTGTTGGGTCTCCAGTATGTTTTCCAAACAGAGTTGCAGTAATCAGGTCATTTGTTATAATGACAACCATTAGGGGTGATCATCGTCACACAGCGGTCAGGAAGATAAATCAGGTGCTCTCTCCGAGATTCATCTGAGTTACACACAAGCATGCCGACAAAACAAAACGCACACTCACCTTCCCATCATTACCGACGACTGAATGATCAAAGGTTACATGAAATCATTATATAAAGCTATCCTGAGTTATTTAAAAGGCGAGGTGAAGCATGTCGCAGTACCTAGTTTAACTGAGCCAGCCATTTCATATGCACCAAGTCATACATAATCCATATTTAGACCTAGTACAACTTTACAGAGAAAAAACATTTACACCCCCCACAAAATGAGAAGACATCTGAAAGTACCTACTTGTTATTCCAAGCCAAGAACAAAGTACAAGTCTGATATTCCACAAAGAAAAAACATTTATTTACAGAACAGCATTGCAATAAACAATGAAAGCATTCAGGAAGTACATATTTTCTGCTGTGATATCAAAAGGATTTAAGAATGTTAGTCTCCTTCCATACCTGCCTCCATTACCTCATTAACTCTTAAAACGCTTTGCTGGGCAGCCTCGGTTCTTAATCACATAAATGGTGAGCATACTGATGGTGCACGCTGAACTGTGCACGGTTTGTTTGCACGCATCACAGTGGGCAATCCGTTCCATATCCCGGCCCAAATTCATTCACCCTCTTCAGCAGAGCAGCTTTCACTGCACTGATCTTCTCATCCAGTTCTGTCAGACTGCACGCCTGAAGGAAGAAACATTTTTTGGGGGGGTTAGGGTTAGGGGGGTCATGTTTGGAGGTTTTAAATGGAGGCTGACCTCCACTCACAAAGTATTTTGACTGGAACAAAAAATACTAACCTGAGCCGGGGATGTCTTTGGTCGCTTGTGCAGGTGACTCTATAAAACATAAACACAGAAGAGGCTTCTGAATTCAAAATATGTACTTAATGGCACAAAAGGAAATGTACTTTTCTAAGCAATGAGTGCACAATGCTGAAGAATCAGAGAAGAACTGCTTTCTTAATAGACATTTTCTGTAGATGGTTTGAAAATCGAAACAGTAAACAGACAAGAAAGAGACAAGAAAGTAACATTCAGCTGAAGTCCTTGATTAAATGTGGGGGGGGGGGGACAAAACATCTATTGTCTGAAGCAAAATGCTTTAATGTGGTGTCTTGCTTAGGGAGCCTGCCTTCCTGCTCTGCATTATGAGGTTGTTCCAGAAATCTTGGTCCAACTTTCAACAGCTGTTCAGCAAGCGCTGAGGCACAGGAGAAAGAAAAAAAACGGGACTCCAAATATAAAAGACCCCACTCCTCATCGGTTTATTGAAAGACACTCAACTCCTCCTGCTCTGCTCACGCAAACATGCACCGAGTCAAAAGCTGATGGAGAGCAGCACTCACAGGAGCAGCATGCTGCGCTGAGAAACTCCACTATGAAGAGACATGCAGCATCTCAAGCACACTTAGGTAACCAACATATATGCACAGACCCATTAACTGAAGAAATTAGATTGTGCCTTTGATCTGTCACAGGTTTGAACATTAGCTCTAATAAATTACATACAGACACATACTTAGCCTGAACTGCTCTTAAACCACTGACACGTTGTGATTTCTCAAATGTTGAGATAAACCTAGTCTTAGGAAGGATGCTAAACATGCTAAAATGTACCTCGAGCTAAAGTCCTAGTGACATCTGCACAGACTCCTCATTCAAGCCATAAAAACAGTGGGGACTACCTAGTCCCTCAATACAAAACTACAGCACCCAATCTGGTATTGTATTGTCGTGATTTTATACAGATATGAGGATTTTGAAAGGGAAAAAAAACATTTGGTTCAAACAGGGCTTGTCGAGACTAAACGGGGTTGAATTATGTATGAGAAAAGGAGAATTTAGAGTAGAGCCCTCAGTTTAAATGTTGCAAACTTTTTATTTGAGAAGTCAGATTGTGGGGTCTGAACTGATATAAACCAGGCAGGCGGAAGTCATGCAGCAACCGGCACTGTGACACTATGATGACACATTATGAAAACTCTCAAGACACACAAGATGATGCACTGCAAACTGTACCGATTTATGAATTGGTACAGATATCTGCTGCACCAGGTGAGTGCCGTTAAGTGCAGTTAAGTGTTGATAAGGTCTGGATTGACAAAGCTACAGTTGGATGTTCAGATTTAATCGGAAGAAGCAAGTAGATACAGAACTTACAGTTCATGTTTAGTTGCCATGGCGTATTACTTGAGTCACAGCTTTGTGTGTGCAGTGGGACAAGTGTGTTTCCAGATCTTGTAAGTCAGTGCAGTAGAGACATAAATGGTTCTCAAACAATGTAAATTCTCTCCACAGACGCAAAATGATAGATTAAAATTTGGTTTCGTAAAGAAAAACAAGTGACATTCAAACAAAGCTATATGGGCTGCTTAGTGATGCTACAAAAAAAGGAGTCTAGTGCCTTCCATGTGTCTATTTTCAAGTCATGGGACTCACCGTGGACTGAAAGTACTCAGGCGAGAGTCCCTCTAGCTCTAAAATACGATCCTCCAGCTTCTTGAGTCTCTGATAGATGCTCAAAGGGACCGGCCCCACTGAAGTAGAAAAACAATGGTTGAGCAGCAGAAGAATTTGTGACTCGAAAACAACGAAACCTTTATCGTTTCAAATGGATCACAGGTGAAAACAGTGAATTAAACCTAAATTACCAATATAGTGCCATCACATGCCCATTTTAAGTGGTCAGTATTAGAGATGATGAAGCCATGATTTTTTTCCTGCTATTCAAAAATGATATAGTACACTTTTCAGTCAGCGATGACATTACATTCGATAATTACGCCTCTCACCTGATGGGAGTTTTAAATGAGTCTCGATGTTCTGAAGTCGTTCTTCTATGGCAGCATTTCCACAGTCTCTAGTCACTGCCCCCCTCAGCTGCTCCCCGGACTCTCCTGGGCCTGCCCCACCATGGGTCTGGGGCCCGTAGGTGTTGACTACCCGTGTGACTGCCCACACATTAAAACAGAGAAGTTCTGCACAAACCGTCGACTTTGAAATGTCGCCTCAGTGCATAAGGGATGCATTAACATAACTGCTCAAGCAAGATTGAATAATTAACATCCCTATTAAGAGTAGATCAATCAATATTTCTTTTTAAAGTACTGATCGGTGAATGCGGTGAAATATGTTCTTACCTTTGACATGGCTTTTAAAACCTGGGTAGGGAGTGAACACCGCGTCTGTTCTGGCACAACTGTTCTCTACAGAGGACCAAATTACAAAAGAAAACTGCAATATGAATTTTAAATGTAATAAATTAATCAACATTAGAAAAAAAGCAAGCATATCACACTTGAATTGCAGCTTTTCTTCTCTTGTGATTTCTACAACTGGTGTCTCACACAGGCTTTGAATTTCAAAAAGGTCCTCGGGTCTCGTGTTTTTCTGGACTGAGCGGCTTGTGTTTTGAGGCCGAGTGTGTTAGCTACTTCAGCCCCACTCTTGGAGCAGTTCAGCCTGACCTCTCGCCTGTGGAAATCAGCTCTCTCCCAAACATTGGCAATCTGTGTGCAGGCTCTCTCTCCACCCTGCTACCCCCCGCCCCCCAACCTCTCTCCCGTTCTCACCCTGATTGCAGTCGATCACGTTGCAGAACTCGCGCACATTGTTTTCATTGATCTCCATCTGCTTGCGTTCCATAAATGCAGATATTCTTCGCTCGATCTGGGGTTACCATGAAGACACAACACACATAATAAGATACAATGTATTGATGGGCTACTGAGAGGTGTGAAGAATGCAGTGTTACGCCTGCTTAATATTAGTGTTCTGGGGTAAACACAGTGCAGCAATTTATATTACAGAAAATGTGAAAGGCAGCACAGTGTTAGAAACTGTTCTAGGGAGCCAAAAAAGTAGAACTGCTTGCCATCGTCACGTAACAGAATATGAATGCTGTTTGCTTGGCTACCAAAATAAATGCACAACAGAATGGGGGCTCTTGTCCTTCATCCACATGCAATCTCAGAGTAATGAGCATCCACTTCATAATCCATCAAGGACCTGGCCCTCTCTCAAAACCCTCCAGCAATGTGGTCTGCTCTACCCCACCACAGCACTAAAGGACACCCTCACCCTCTGCCGAACCCGGCCTATGAGATCTCCATCAGCCATTTGCTTTACATCCTTGGAAGCAATTACTTATGATTATTCATTTGCTTGATGAATAGTAAAGAGGGCTGTAGAATGCCATGGCCAGAACCGCCGACAGATCTGCTGACGGAGACCTACCTCTAACTTCCCAGCTCTGATCTGAACCATGATGTCATCAGCCGCCATCTTGCTCTCAGCCGCCTCTGAGCTGTGATGATGGTGCTCAGGCGAGGCAGCTGTGTGCTCTTTGACCGAGGATGATGCAACAGCTTCATCTGGTGTGCTTTCCTTGATAGAAGTCACACTTTCAGCATCCACCAGTGACTTGAAGCTTTCTGACACAGCCTATTTAAACAGTCAAAGCAGGACAAACAAGCAAAATGATTATGATACTTATTAAAAAAAAGACCCTTCATTATTTCAAAATATGATGGCCATAATGCTTTAAAGCTGTTTGAGCAAACCCTTTTAACTACAATGCAGCACATTAAAACAATTTAATCAATGTAAGAGTTACATTAACTGGGTCATTTTACCTGTAATTTTGTTATATGGTCCGTCAAGCAGCGGTAAACATGAGCAGTTGGAGTTGATGGAAGAGTCACAGAACTGGGGTTGACTTCTATTCTTAAAGCAGCTTCACTTAGTCCGAGCTTTATTTAACAAAATGTGACAATGTTAGCTTTCACATAAGGTAAATTACCTTCACAATGTATTCACTTCTCCCGTAAATTTACGTTTTATTGTTTATTAGTACATCAGTGGACATGTCTGCCATTGTAATAGTCAGAAAGGCCTAATAAAAAAATGATTATTTAAAGAAAGAGTAATTTTGTTTTCTATCCCATGATTCTGTCAAGTTTAAAAAAGAAGGTGTTGTGTGCTACCTTATATTGATTTATGTGAGTGTGCAGTATATTGATTAAACAAAAAGGACAATATTTCCGAACACCAAATAAAAAAAACAAGTGGTACCAAAGATACTAATGTGCTAGATAGAGATCAGTGATGTGGTTGTAATGGTGCAAGTATGATTTAATTTACACGTGAAAAATCCAGAGATGCGGGGAAAACAAAGCTGATGCTTCTTATTTTCACACATTGTTTGATTCATGACTGCATCTCCGCATGAAAGCAGGGCCATCAAATGTGTCGATAATAACACAAACGAACAATCTTGTTAAAATTCCATTTCAAAGTTATGTTCAAACATAGCTTAAATAATAAGATTGCACTAAAGAAGGCAATTCACAGGATGGTGATTGCGAGAACACTTCCATTCAAATCAAGATTTAGCTTAAATTCTTGAGTTAAAGTACGGAGATTCCCGTCTAAATACAAAAGAATGAGAGTTGGCGACAGAAATCCACATGCGATGAATTCCCTTTAAATTTTTTGTAATGAACGTGATGTATGAGTAAGTTTCCTCAAATCAACTGTGTATTTAGAAGGCAGACATGCTAACACGGAGGGCTGCTAAAAATATTAGCACGTAGCCAATAAAAAGCTTAGAGAAAGACAGTGTGTCCGGAGTGACACGGTGTAAACAATCCAAACCAACCTCTGTCCCGAAATCTGCAAGCAGCTTTAGTATCATACACATGCAGTCCCTGTAGCTGGACATTTTAGAAGCTTCACTGGGAGGAGCATCGTATTCACTTTGCTTTGTCGTCTTCGCCATTGCTGTTCAGAATAACACTGTGCGCTGATTGGTTAGAATGCCTGATTGTGTCCGCGCGGAAAATGACCTAGCTGCTGTACGACGCATGCGCACACACAGCCGTAGTCTTCACAATTCGAGTCAACTTGAAAACTTGACTGGAGTGCAGAAAGTAGTGATTTACTGGCACAATGTTGTTGATTAAAAATAACATATCGAATATCTCTAATCACACATTCCTTTAATTTCATTCTGTGTTTTTTTAGATGTAGAACAGTACAATAGAATATGGTTGTGAACCGTGATTAGAATATGACCAGACCAAAATGTAATAAAGTAAATTCAAGTTTAAATAAACATGTTATAAGTACCAAATTAAAACTGCACAATCCCTATCATATTTGTGTGTAGAATCTTTCTTTAGACCTCAGAACATGTTTTTGTAATTATATTCTTTTTAGGTTCTTATGCCACCTAAATAACTTAGTTCTTCGCTATATCTGGGGTATTAAAATAATGAAAAATGATGCAGGTAATATTGCTATGCTTAGAGGTTTTAAGCAAAGAAGATTTCACTTTATTTTTAGAAAATGAGTTACCAATAAACAGATACATATGGTTTCTTTTTTTGCCTTTTACTCCCTTGCATGCCCTAGTAAGTGGCATGCAAGATGACTGATGCTCTTGTGGGTAAATTATAATTTGCCTCTGTTTACACAAGCCTGTTCAACTTCAAATGCTGTTTAGGATTTCATACGTTTCATAGCAGTCAAACTACATGGCTTGACTGATTAAAATGGGTAGCTGCTTTTAACTGTATTCTACATCACTTACTTTTCAAACAGAAGAAAGAATGACCGTTCAATTATAAGAACATTGTCCCTCTGACCATGGTAGACTGTGCTGCAGGGCAATGTGATGGGAACCTGGCTACAAGGGCGTATTTTTCTGAGTTGAGTGACTGTGGGAAAATCTCCCTCCTCTATTCAGACATTTTTCCTTTCTTTTCATATAATGAGGAGAGGGACTGATGAAGGAAACAACGGAAAAAGAACAATTACAGGCAAAGAGAAGGCACAAGCACTCAAAACTCAATAATGTTCTTTAGAAGGGTTAATCATTTAAGGAAGGGGCTGAAGACAAGCCTTTTTAGTTTAATTCATCTGTGGGGTGATATTTTTCCCCCTAAAACAGGAAGGGAACTGTAACACTTGACATGGTGTGACATGCTGAGCAGTTGCTGAATGTTCCCACACAGCAAGGAGCTCTGAAATTAAAAACTGCTCATTTAATTTGCCTGGCTCAAGAACCATGATCCCCCCACCTTATTCAGCAAGCAAGAGTTGTGATTTTTAAGTGCTACTGTGGATTAAAGTACTTGACACTTTTTGCTTCTATAAAATTGCAAACCAAAGGGCTAATATGAACAGGCTTCAGCTCTCATTTAATGGTCCTGTTTTTCAGATCTATGAATATGAATGATATTTATGCAATAAGTACACACAATAGTTACAGCATTGGAATAACATAACACATCACAAAAAAGTGGACAGCGTGACGGTGGTGGAGGGATGTGGGTGAACAGGGATTGTTGTTGCTCCTTGCCTCAGTCACATCAGCCACCTGCAGGAAAGTAAAAAGGTCTGCTTTTGAGCCCGTGTGCTCCACAGTGGCAGATGATGTTGACAGAGTATGAGACGGAGTAAAGGCCAGACAGGAGGGTCAGGGGAAAGACAGAACACAATACAGAGAGACAAGTGGATTGCAGTGGGAAGCTTTTGTCTCATTTTACTGAAAGAAGGATAATTAAATGTATGCCTTTCTTGTATGCTTGAGACTGAGCGTCCTTCTAACTGGCTGACTGTTCAGACAAACTACATTTGAATAACCATCATAAGAAATATCACAGCGACGCAAATGGTGAATTTAACCGTAGTATAACAAGACCAAAGGACTGAGTTTCTCACATCATTCTATTACACAGTTGTAATTGTTAACAATTTCTCTGTTCTCCATTACAAATACGACTGGGATGTATTTTTTGTTTGTTTTTTTAAGAAGTTGTTTGAGTGCATACAGAAAAGCATTCAGAAGTGAAATTCCTTTACAAATACCACTATGGATTTCAATAGTAATCAACTAGAATCTAATCGCTAATAAATCGAATGCATGCTAACCAAACCAAAATACAGTTAATTATGTAATTTACAATTGATTTGAAAGCTGGTGGTGCTGTGACATTAATCACAAAATCCATAAACAGCATGTTAATAATTGATCCAATCCCTGTTTCATCACTTTCTAGATTGCCATTTGAATCTTTTGAGCATTGCATCAGGCTCACTTAAAATGCAATGCACCTCTGGGGAGTGTGTCAAAAGAATATTGAAATGTACAACAGCAATAAAGAAACTTTCTGCATTCAGTCTGTACACAAGATCACAAAAACACATATAGATTATTGCATTTAATTTAACATGCAGGGAAACAGTGCCAGTATTTCACAAGCAATACCTGGAAAAAGACCCCAACTCTCTATGAGTAGAGGAGGACATTTCCATTATCGAAAGCAGGAACATAGTGGAGAGCAATGAGGAGGAATTTTAAACTCTGTTGCCAGGGGAAGTGCAATATCATTGGCAAACAAAGTGGTAGAGCTTTAGGGCCTGGAGGGCATGCAGGAGGGATTTTGCAAGAACAAAAGACATGACTCAAGGAATGACAATAAAGTCCTCCCAAGAGCTTTCTTACTCTGAGAGAAGATAGACTTTTAGAAAAACTAAAGAGTAGGTATTTTGGCACTTGTTAAGAATAAATATTGAAAAACTGGACATGACACATGAAATAAGTTTTTGATCATGTTGTCTTAGAAACACCTAAATGCAACTATTGTAAATATCTCTGAATGACTAAACTGCACCTCTTTGCAAAATTTAAACTTTACAGAAGTACCTACCCTGATTTTGATTTACATTTTTTACATTTTTATTCAATTTACAATAGTTTAAGCTCAAGATATTTAAATTCCCTTCTTATTATTGAATCTAACAGTTCAAAGTCCAGCTAGATGGAGAGGAACTGTATGACGGAAAGATATACAGGAGACCATATCTATTTGACGGTCAGAGTGTCACCTTAGACATTTTTCCATATCCTTGAACTAACTCATAACAGTGACCTTCTGGTCTTCAAAGTACTAGCCCTGTAAGTGGCAGGAAGAAAATGCAACCTATATGAATGCTTCTACATCAAAGCTGATGTCATTCTCAAGCCTTTTGTTTTGCAAACCAACAAAATCTGAATGAATAATCAGGGTGGAAAAAAACCTTTCTGCTTGGTGGCTGACTTGAAGAAGCAATATCACTTTAAAGATAATAAATAACAAGTACTTAGTTAGGGACAGAACTCAATCATTGTTAGGATAAAAAGTACATTATTTTAACTTTCAGACCATTTCCTTTGTGGGGGTTTTTTCAACAGTGATGAAAACAAAACGCAACTCAGACCACTGCCAAGCACACGCTCCTCTGAAATCTATTTGAGTGTAAATTGAATATGAATAATTACATTTGTCAGGCTGTCTTTAATAAGGTATCCAAGAACAGAAAGTAACTAGAAACATTTTAATGACAGAACAAGTGGGAAGAATGAATCATTTTTGTTTTGAGTTTTAATATGAGTGGTTTCTTGTTGCAACAGCACATATCAGATTTAAAATGCTTATTGTATAAATTAGATTTGTATGACCTAGATATTCTGTCCATTTACACAGAAAAAATAGTGAATTAAAATCACGGTTATGCCAGATATGAAAAGTCAGACAATCAAAATGATGCATTCAGTGATGGATGTGAAACAGTGCAGCTGGCACCAGTGGACCACATCCATACAGGAAAGCTTCCTTAGTATTTAATTTCTCATACTGTGGTTAAACAAGGTCTACCAAACTCTCAGTGTGTGTGAATGTGGTGAGGGAAACACAACTCTCAACTGTGAAATGTAGCCTCCACTGGAAATTAGCCATGAGTGTGGGCAGGCAGGTTGCTGCTTTAAATCACTTCTGACTGTGGAGAGAATTAATGATATGGACAAGGTGCTAAGGATCCTCAAAAAGTTATTAACCTGCTTTCACTGTTTCCCACTATTGTTCCCACCAGAACAGGAAAAAAGAATATCCAAATCGGCAGCACTTGATGCCATTCAATTGATACCATTCAATCAGCGTAATGTAGGTTTGTGTGTACATATGGGGACATTCGAGAGGTCTCAGCTTGACATTTGTCCAGATAGTATTCCATGATACCTGCCTTCGGTTGGTCTTAAATCATGTTTTTGGGGTATCTCCTGTCTTGAAAAGACAACGTGAGATCAAACAACTTACACGAACCACAAACAAAATGTAAAAGCACCAGTTGCGAAAGGGGAGATTCCCACCTGGGTCCACTGAGTTGCTTCTCTGGAGCTTTAAAATCTAATAACTTCAGACATGATGAGAGAGGGTGGAAAAAATACTTTTTTTTTTTTTGGTCTGCCAAATGTTTAAAGGAAATCTCATCCATGTTGCTGCTTCACAATGATCCCATTTAAGAAAAACATTCCTGGTAATGCTATGAAGGAAACTCACTCAAAAAGAAAGCAATTAAAATTGATTTGGTCATTTTGGCAAAACATACTAAATGTACTGCAACACATCCAAACACCAAATAACTGATTAATATATGAAAGTAGCCTGAAAAGTTTTCAGAGTATATTGCATTAACGGAGCCCAAAGCGTCATTTAACATGGTGTGCAGTATGTTGTATCATCCCTTTTCACCTGTCTCATGTTTGCTGATATTGCTAAAACACTTATAATTTCAAACTCAGTTTGTAGAGCCCCCTCTCCCTCTTTTTTCCACTCTTGAGTTACACAACAGCACTTCTCTAAAACACTTTTTTCACCCTCTGATTTAGAAAAATAATATCAGACTACCCAAGTTTGTTACTCACATGTTTGAAGTTACAGTAAGATAAGATGCCAA